TACGATAAGTACTAGTTAGTAATTAGTTACGTAATTAGTAGTAGTTAGTAGTAGAGGTAGTAGTAGTACGTAAGTTAAGTAAGTAAGTAAATTAATTAATTAAGTTTAACATGACAGCATATAAACTTATATTAAAGTTTTCTTCATTACCCATTTAAGCCGTCTCCAGCCATTATTAGTCTCAAAGTGGGTTCCTCGTCATCGAATACTGGTTAATTAGTAAATACCAAAATGCAATGTACAAGTGCTTATATAGTATACTTGTAGCAATATTGTTATAGTCTATTTACAGAACACTGTTGTTGTCTTAATCGACCTGTGTCTTCTAATGGTTACCTGCAACAAAATACATTGATATAACTTGTTAACTAATTATATTATTATTCTAAAGTATAAATATGTTTATTACAGTGCAGAATTAAGTTGTGTATCCCGGGTAACGTGTCCATATTGATGTAAGAAGAAATTGACTCCGTAAAATAATGATGGGTTTCTAGTAGAGTTGATAAGTTATTAAGTAAAACAACATGTTGACGTACGTGAAAACAAACCGTTAATTTGCGTGTAGGCGTTCGTGTCATCAGCCCCCCGGGGTGGACACCCAACTGTGTAGTTTATATGAGGTGTGCCAAAACCCGCTGTTGTCCACGGTCTCCCGCTCTGTGCATAAACACTTCTTGTTGAACGGTATAGCCACTCCCTCACTGTTAATGAACCGCTTGACAACTTCTAATTAGCGTGTCATTCTCTTATTCTAACTGTTAACCCCAGTTGTTAACTCTTAATTACTTGGTCTCCTGCAGACGGCTCCTGATCCTTGCAGGTGTTTGTCTCGTGGAGTCAGAGTAACAGTCTCCGAACGGAATGAAAGGTTGCAGGTTCCCACCCCCTTCCCGATGTTCAAACAGAAAAATTGTCATCTTGAATTTCAGGATAAACAAATTAGAATCATAAGGCAGGAGCACAGGAGGAGTCTCGACGGGAAAATGTGTAGTTGAGGAAATATCCTGCTGACAACCCGTAGCGCCCCCATTGGGATAAACCAGGAAACGGTACAAGATTCGTTGTCACGGAAAGAAAAATATTCTAAAATCTAAAAAGAGTAGTTTTGCTTTCACATTGCAGGTAGACGCACCTCTATGGGTGTGAATGTTTTGTTTTGGTGTATGAAGTGGTTTGTTTTGGTGTATGAAGTGGTTTGTTCTAGTGTATAAAGTGGTTTGTTTTGGTGTATGGAGTGGTTTGTTTTGGTGTATGAAGTGGTTTGGTTTGGTGTATGAAGTAGTTTGTTCTGGTGTATAAAGTGGTTTGTTTTGGTATATGAAGTGGTTTGTTTTGGTGTATGAAGTGGTTTGGTTTGGTGTATGAAGTGGTTTGTTTGGTGTATGAAGTGGTTTGTTTTGGTGTATGAAGTGGTTTGTTCTGGTGTATAAAGTGGTTTGTTTTGGTGTATGAAGTAGTTTGTTTTGGTGTATGAAGTGGTTTGGTTTGGTGTATGAAGTGGTTTGGTTTGGTGTATGAAGTGGTTAAAACTGCCAAATGTTATCATGACACTAGAACAACACAGTGGACAGTATCTCAAATAATTTATAGTTTATTACTATTAACGTAAGTTACATTTCACGATATAAAACATTTGAAAGAAACGAAATATTGAGGAGTTCTACTGTGAAAGACAAATTGAGAAGACCCCTGTGACTTTGTATGAGGTACCATTTCGATGACAAATCCCTTGACTCAGCGGTAAGCTTGAGAGCTTATAACGCGTAGATTCTGGCAGATAGTCCGTTGTATAGCTTCCCTCTTAAACAAACACAATGATAACTACTTTTCTTCTCCTTGTTGATGTAAAACAGAGTCTGAAGGTAACTCAATGTCTAGGTGTTTCACCCTTTTCTATATTCAAATGTCATAGACTTCGAATTGATGTCGGATGTTTTTCGAGTACACATTGCTGTCATCCCAGGATAAGACAACGAATGAAACTAGATATTACAACTCAAAGTATGGAGTACGGTAACAAAGTAAGACGCCTACAGGACCTTCTGTAAAAATACACATCACAAATGCATACCAATAAGTTTTAATCAACCTGAGGACTTTTAAATACTTCCTTTAACACGTGGGTTACGTCGATATATTCCTGGTGGTCTGCTCAAAACGATTAGAAGGAGAGATTACAAATTTACCAATGTTTATGACTAATAATAATAACCTTAGAACACTGTAAATAGTTTAAAACGTTGTTGTTAGCGATATTTCTTCTCTCGTTGTTAATGAATTCTGAATGACATGACCTCGAGTTTCTTAGTAAGCAAAATAAGAACAGAAAAGAAATAACATATCTTGTTCCTAGAGCGTGTTTTTATTAAGCATTAGCCGATTCATTATTGAACGGGTACTATAAAAGTGTTTACTAAACTTGGGGGGAGAAGTTTATTCTACTGAGGTTTCAATGGTTTCTGTATAAGAAATCTTTTATGCAGTTTTGTCCTTTTTAAAATGCTTTCAAACAGTAAAGTACAGAATAACCTAGCCTAGCCTGGGATTTGGATTCCCTTGTCCATTATAAAGAATCTCTTTCTTAGTGACTCATCAGCATTCTAGACCTGTAAGTTACTCATTTACTTCCTACCCAGAGACCAGTTCTGACCCCTGCCAAGGAGGTATTATTATAAAAGTTTGTCTAGACCTTGGACTAGCATTAAAGTTAGGGAGCATAATTGTATGTCCGTGTAATTTAAGCGTAAGTAAAGTTGTTTTTTTTAAAATATATTTGATGGTAAGTCAATACTGTAATGAGACTCCAATATGCAGTGCCTGTAGCTATGTCTGCTTAAGCAAAAACGTTTCTTTAAAGAAGTCGGTCAGGACTATTGTTACATGGCTTCGTAGCTATAAAGCAGAAGCCAGTCGTAACTTCACCCCTGACCTGAGGACAATTTGTTACATAATCTGATAGCTGTGACAACAGTTAACAGACCTGCTGGAGGTTCTTGTCCCA